ATGCAAGAAAACTACAGAAGGATGAAAAGCAATGACACAGCTAATAATATGCGTAAGCTAGGGTTTGAGATGAAGAGCAAAAAGTAACAGAGACTGTAATCATGACACATTACGAATAGGTTAAATTCTATGTAAAATGATCAAGGTAGCCTCTGAAACACAACACAAACATTCCATTTTCACCAAAAGAATGACACATGTGCCACAAGAACAGAAACAGAGAAACTCTAAAACAGGATCCAAGAGACAATTGCTTCAGAAATTAAAAATCTATGAAAGTTATACATATCACTCATATTAAAAGGTAAATATATACTCTATAAATTCTAGAAAAACATAAAACTAAGGCCTTAAAAGAATAAAAATAAAATAAAATTTGATGTGAAGTAGTAACAAGTATAATAAATATGACCCCAGGTCCTCACATAGGGCTACCGAAGGGACAGTCTTGGCTTTGGCATTACCTGACATGAGAGGCAGCATTTGGTCTACTTAGGCCATTAGCGAAGCTCCTGGCAGACCCTGATCCTGTACTGATCTGGGGGAGAGGTGTGAGTGCCTTTTGCTGTAACAAAATGGCTCTGGATGGCCTCCTGGGGTGGGGACAAGTTGCCAGAATGACCAAGCTATGATCAGATGTGGCAGACTCAGCAATCCATCTGCCTGAGAAGACAAGGAGCTGGCATTGGGGCCATTCCTCAGTAACAAAACCTCCATAAACTTTCGTAAATGGTGGGCCCTCAGAGATCTGGACTGTTGAGCACAGAGATGTGGGGGTGGGTGTGGGGTTGCTCTGAGCTGCATGGGGACCCCCACCTCTGTATCCCAGCAGCCCACACCTTATCTATGCATCTCTTCCATTTGGCTTATCCAGACTTGGACACCTTTTAATAGCAGACAAAGGCAACTGAAATAGGTCCCCCGAGTTCTCCTAGATAATGAGAAGATCCTAGAAAAGGCCTTACCGAACCTCTATTTTATAGTCAAATCTGAAAAACCTGTGAGTAGTTTGGGGTTACTTCTTTTTCAAGGGATGGGCTACATCTATGAGTCTGAGTCCTGTGGTGTCTGCTCTACTTTGGGCAGTTAGTGTCAGGAATAAGTTAAATTAATAAGACATCCAGCAGATACTGGAAGACCAGTAGTTGCAGAAAAGCTCTGGGAAATATCACCTGAGTACCAGAAGAAACAGTTTGCTGCTTCTACAAGCAGGTAAGGACTTGCCAAGCGCCCACTAAGAAAAGGCAGCTGTGAGCTCGGTTTTAAAAATAATCTCATGTGAATTTAAGAGGAAGATTTTAAATAGAACCAAAATAAAGTACTATATATCAAAACATACAGCCAGCTGTTACATTTCGATTATGACAAAGTTCAGGACTTCATATACTAAAGAACAAGAATATATAGAACCAAGACACCTGGTGGTATAAACCTGTAACACCAGCACTCAGGAGGCTGAGAGATGGGAGGATCATGAATTCAAGGCCAGCACAGACTGTGTAGCAAGGCCCTGATGCAAAATTATAATTAGAAAAAAGTAAGGAAATAGCCACAGGTATCTGCTTACTGAAAAACCTACCACACAGTTGCAAAGAAGCTCTGACATGAATTAGTCCCACAGACACTATGCAAATAAAAGCAGTTGGTCCCCAGGAGATGAACTCTGTGATTACATTCACATGAAGTTTATGAACTAGTCAATTTCACGTACATAGAAGGCAGACTTGTGGTTTTTCAGGAAATGGGGAAGATGAGATGGGACCTAGTGTGGACGGTGAGAAGTTCCACAGTGACAGGATTAGAAGATCATGATGGCTTCACATGACTTGAATGAGCTGACACCATTGAACTGTATACTTATAAATGGTTATGATGATCATTTTTAAGTCATATGTTATTTTACCCCAATATAAACACATCGAAATGTTTTTGAAAGAAAAGGGAAAACAAAATATTAAAATAGAGCAACAGACAAAGTAGCCATAAACTTATGAACAGCAAAATACTAAATTTAGGAGGATGAGGAAGATGACTTGGTCACACAAGCATGGGGACTTAACCTCAATCTCTGGAGCTGGATGTACCAGAACTTCCAGAACTGGTGGGTGGACACACATTCCTGGGGCTTGCTGTTGGACGGTCTAGTTTAACTGGTAAACCGCGGCTTCAGTGACAGATGATAGCTCAAGAAATAAAGTTGACAGTGATTGAGGAAGTTACTCAACATCAACCTCAGATGCCACATACTTGGTCATACACTCAGACACACACACACACACACACACACACACACACACACAGAGCAAACTAAACTGAAGTTAATTAGAAACAAGCTTGGCATGCCAATCCCAGCTTCCTCACCCTTCCCTCCTCCCCTGTGCCCCATCAACCCCCCAAATCCCTACCCCATCCCTCCTCTGCTCCCCAGGGAGGGTGAGGCCTTCCATGGGGAATCTTCAAAGTCTGTCATATCATCCCGGGCAGGGCCTAGACACTCCCTAGGCACATGATCTTAAAAGATGAAGAAAAAGATAAATGATGAAGATCTGGGCAGAACTGTAGACTGTTTCATATTCTTGTGACTCCCAAAGTAGACCATGCTGACAATGTGGGGTGTACACAAAGTCTCATAGAGACTGAACCTACAGAGAGCCAGGACTCTGGGGCTCCTTTTCCAACTCATGAGATACTCAGTGTAGCAGAAGGTCAAAAAGATGAAAAAGAAGTAATTATCAATGGGGGTCACAGTGGCTAGGTTAGTCTGGAGAGGACTGGGGAGCATTTAAGTATGAAGGAACAAGAGAAGGTAAGGAAGGTGTAGAAGAAACCATGAGACCTACCCAAGCCACAGTCACCCTGCCCAGGTGCCCAGGCCAGCCTGCATGAGCATGTGCGGCAGGCACTTCTTCCCTGAACCAAGCCTGCCTCTATGCCCAGAGACTGCTGATGAAGAGACACCTGACCAGAGACACCAATGAGAAAAGGACATACAGTAGTCACCCGCCTGAGCCAACAGGACCTTGGGAGGGGGTATAAAGGCAGGTCTAACACCCTTAATAAACATGTCTGCACCAATCTATGCTACTCACTGACCCTCAGTGCCTGAGTTGTTGGTGCTGAGTCTTCTCACCCCTTCCTCCAAGGGGTGCCTGAGCCAGGGTCACCCACAACATAAAGAGAAGGTAAGTTCCTCAAGGAAGGATTACATCCTGAAACTTGTACCCATCCAATCATGTTATGGTTAACATGTCCGAAGGTCTTCCCTCGTGCTATTCTTGTGGTGGGATGAACATTTGGCGCATTCGGGCTGTCTTGTTGGTTTGCCTCAGTGGCTCTGAACATTCAGGGATGGCAGGAATTCATGTCTTGGACCCTTGAAGAGGAAATAAGGGTGGAGAAGACTGCACCTCCAGCAATAGTGTGGTTTGCACTGCCCCGTTTTGTTGTTGCCAACTTGACATATACTAGTGTCATCTGTGAGGAGGGCACTCAATTGGGAGACTGCCTTCATCAAATCAGACTGGCCTCTAGATAATTCTGTGGGGCATAGTCTTGAAAAAGGACTAGTGTGGAATGGCCCAATCCACTGTTGGTGATGCCATCCCTGGGCAGGCAATCCTGAGCGGTATAAAAAAAAAAAGCAGGCTGAGCAAACCATGGTAGCAAGCCATTAAGCAGCACTCCTCCCTTCTGCTTCAGATCTTGCCTTGAGTTCCTGCACTGACCCTCTCACCGATGGGCAGGGCTGTGGAAGAGAAAACCAAATTAGCCCTTTCCTCCAGAAGTTGCTTTTTATACCTGTCTTCTGCTGTAACCAGCAAGTGCTGCCTCAGCCTAGGGACAGATAGGACCCAGAAGTCAGGTCCCCAAAGTCATGTCTAAGGATCTGTGTTCAAATTGTGTGTGTGTGTTCAACTCATTACACACAGAAGAAATACAATTAAAAATGACAAAACATCACCACAAATACCAAGTCGGAGATCCTAAAGCTTATGTTGAAAACTGTACAACTCTGCTTAAAGATTGATGTGATTAATTTTAAAATAAAATTGCAAATTAAATTGGCTTTGGTGGTGCATTCCTATGATCCAGCTCACAGAAGCTGAAGCAGGAGAATTTTGAGTTCCAGACTCGCTTGGGATACAGTAAGAGCTCCTGTCTAGAAAACACAGACATTGACACAGACATACACACATAAACACAGTGGGATGCAGAAAGAGCTCCTGTATAGAAAACACAGATACAGACACAGACAGACAGACAGACAGACAGACAGACAGACAGACACACACACACACACACACACACACAGATACAGAAAGAACTCCTATCTAGAAAACATAGATATTAACACAGACAGACAGACACACAGTGGGATGCAGGAAGAGCTCTACTATAGAAAATGCAGATATAGACACAGACAGACAGACAGACAGACAGACACACACACATACAACTAAAATTGACAACAAATGTTCTAGAAGAGCTAATTTGTTTGATCTGAGAAATTCAGAAACACGGACAGCTCTTAGGCAGTTCTTGTAAACTTAAGTAGATAATGACTTTAAAACCAATTACAATCTCCCTCAGTGTCCTTAGGAATATGGCCCCCACAACCCTCTCATTTATATTATACAATCTGTAGGTTAAGTATAAAGTAAATGATATGTACATGCTATATCTCATTAACAGAGGAATAACATGAAGGCTGAGTATGCCCAGTAAAGTTGTGATTTTTGAATATTTTTCACCCACAGTTGATTGAATCCAAAGATACACAAAACAAGCTATAAATTGATTAATCTTAATTATGAACATTAACAGCCCAAATCATAAGACAGTGTAGCCATCACTTCAGGAATATATTATAAGATCACCTTAATTTTTCTGTTAATGAAACCTTCTGCTGGATAAATTGAAATTTCTGGTATTTTCTGTGGATACTGGGAAGGCTTTGACAGAAAGACACTATTCTGATTTTTCCCAGAGAGCAGTAATAGTTGAGAGGATACATGGATAATTTTTATTATAATGAAAAAAATACATGTCTTTATACAAGTAAAATTGGGGGTCACTGAGAACAAGAACAAGACAATATGCAAACAAGCCAATTACTGTTCTCAAGTGCAACTGATTAGAAAAAGAAACAAAGGAAGGACAACTTAAAAGAATATCTTGGAAACAAAATGATCACAATTATGATGACTAACATACAAAACGCAACTACTTTCCTGTGCATTCGGCTAGATAACAAAATTAAGGCATCCGACTGAAAATGGCAACCAATTGATAAGATACCCAGAAATGAACAGCAAGAAATTCATAGGACTTTTCTGGATAGTCCTACTGACTACATAAAATTAGGTTTGAATACAAGCTGAAATTGTGGAGTTCCCAAACAGGAAGACCCGCTGTGTAAATCAGATGCTTCTGACACAGAGAGTAAAAGGGAGGGAGCAGATGAGAGCATCCACTTAAAAATATTCATACTAATATGAGTAAAGCTTTGGAAATCAACAGCATTGAGGAGGATTAATCAACAAGGCAGAACAGCACTTAAAGAAACTTAATTTCCACAGAAGGTGAGAATCCAAAAGGAGTCAAGACTTTCATTGTATTACAGAAAGGCTTTATTATATGCCTGGTGTACCAGTAGCCACGCTTGGGGAAAAATAACTAGATCTTTATAATTTCTTAGAATGAATCTTGAATGAAAAGTTATAAAGGTAAACAAATGAAAATATTGTTTTAGAGAGAAAATATGAGTAAATATATTTGTAAACTCAACATGGAGAAGACCTCCTAGAGGGCAATCTCATGTTCTACAAAGGGAAATATGAATAAACTAGCAACATAGAGTTTTAAATTTTCTATATGTCAATAAATACACAGTCAATAAATAGCATCAAAAATAAATGCCAAATAAAAATTCAAAGAATAAAGTAACTGACATTTTTATAAAATAGAAATATAAAATTGAAATTACCAAAATATATTTGAAAAATTCAACCTTGCTCATGGTAAAATGAACTAAAATCAGAATATTGTTGCCGCATCATTTTTGCCCAGATAGATTGGGAAGGGAAAAATTAAATATGCAAACATTTAACACCAGAAAGCTGAGAATCTGGCCCTTTAAACTGTACTCTGGGTGGGGGTATCCACTGACCAATTCACAGAGGACCATCTGGAAATATTTATTAAAAGTCTAATGCGCATAGTCTTACACCCAGTAGGTCCATTTCTAAACTGAAATTTATACCAAGATACAGTCACAAAAAATATGGCACAGTATGCACCAAAATGCTAACTACAGACTTGTGTATAAAAATAAAACCTGGAAATATTGTAGCTATGTGTTCACAGCTAAAAGCCTAACTCAACGAATTGTAAGCCACAGATGGAATGGAACACTAAGCAGCTATTAAGAGGAATGAGGTAGACCTTTAGATGTCATTACGGAAAGCTCTATAGGACAAAACACTAGCTCTCTAGGACAAAGCACCTTTCAAGCACGAGCTCTAGAAAAGCAACAACAAAGTCTCTCTACCTTCTCCTCCTTCTTTCTGTCACCACCTTTCCTTTTTCGTCTCTAAAACTGTTCCTAGGAGGAAATGGGAGCTAGGGGGAGACAATTTTGAACCACATACATCTTCTAACTATGAGCACAGCTAGTTTTTATCATTATTTTTACAGTGTCAATAATTGTCAGATAGTCAAAGCAAAGGCTAGCGTTTGATTTTTAACTAACAGTAAGACACAAAAACCTGGTCTTAAGGTTTCAGAACACACTTATTTGTTTCCAATTACTTTAATAAAAGACATAACACTTACTTTAATAAGAAAACATAATACCAGCAAAAAAAAAATACTGTGCATCATTTGTTGATACTGGATGTAACAGATGCATGTTGGGAAAGACCCAGGTACAGATGGTGAGTGGTGAAATCAACAAAGTCTCCGTATTTGTCCACATCTCTCTATACTATTTCCTCTTTTCAGCCACACACACGCACACACACACACACACACACACACACACACACACACACACACACGCCCACATACACACAGGGTATCACCAAGCCTTCATCTAATTAATGGCTGGGAAAAGTGTTGGTTTGGTTTTGTGGTATTGTTTGTTGTTTTGAGAAAACTAATCATCCCTCATGATTTTATGATTCCATCTCTGGGGCTGTAAGATTAATTTTTTGGAGGAGCTTTTCTTGAAGAAACCTCAGACCCCATTAACAAACAAGAGATGAAATACAAACAGACCAGTGTGCGCTACAGAGTGAGACCCTAACTTGGAAGAGAAAAGCATACACACAACAACACCCTGTTGGATCCATGCACTGACTGAGTCAACTTCACGCCTGAAGCCATGGGAAGGCGGCTCCCAGAAGGAAGCCAGATCCTGATGGCACTAGCTTGGTATCCAGACGGACTACATCACCCCTCCCCAGCTCTGGGCACAAAGTAGCGCAGAGGGCCTCACCTGCTTCCCTCTAGCCCCAACAAGGGGGGAAGCGACAGGATATGTTCACTTGGTGCACTCTTGTACAGACACACAGACTTCTGAGGCTAGTGAAGCATGACATGCAGAGCAACTAACACACTCTTATTTTAAAAACACGCACAAAAAGGTTTAGCTCAGCGTCAGCTACTTGCTGGTTAACACTCAGAACTCTATTTGTCCTACAGATTTTGCCCAATAAAACGGACTCACTTAACCTCTCAGGAGAGGGACATACCATGAAGCTTGGGATCTACAGGGGCCACAGCCTCCAAATGCTTTTGGCTAGGATTAGTCCTAGTTTAGAACTGACAGTACAGATCTACAGGAATCAGCTTGATCAAAATTTCATGTAGCAGGCCAACATTCTCACCAGTATAAAGTTGGTAATTGGTAAAGACAAAAATAAAAAAAAATTAAAATCATAGCAAAACCTGCAGAGAATTGAATTTGTGTTTGCTTTCCTTTTCCAAGAACGTTGTTGAAATTGACTCAGTGAGTGCTGCTTAGACTGGCTTTTCACTCAGGTCTGTGCACGGCACAGGCAGACAGTGAATTCTTGTGTGAGCCTGTGACAAGGGGCATGCAGGCATGCAACACCAACGGGACAGGCCTCTACTGGCTGACTAGAACCACTGAGATCTGTCCTGCAGGGCTGTCCAGACAGTGCTAATGACCACTTAGTGCCCCTGCTGAGGACAAGGCTATGCCAATGGTAAGTGTAAGAGAAGAAAACAGAAGGGTGCAGAAATCTTTTTAGTTAAAGTAACCAGGAAACTAAGTCTCAAGACTGACAGCTACACAAATTCTTCAGTTGTTCCACTTCGGGTTAGGACCCCAATTCTCACCCTCCAGATACGTTCCCTATCTCCCATGCAGTGATATTAAGCAAAGTCTTTGGAGACAGCCTCCACGAAATTTGGGGCCGACATGAGGATACCAATGGTGCAGATGATGGTAAAGACAGAAAAGGCCATGAGGCACAGGCGGTCCACCACACAGGCTGCAAACTTCCACTCACTGCAGACCACTTCACTCTCATCCTGGCAGCGGAAGCGGTTGGCGATATAGCGGACCTCTTCCAGGATTTTGACCAGGTCAGGGTCCCCATCAGAGGGGTGTGCACCACGCAGGAGGTGCTCATCATGTGTTGGAGAGCAGGCCAAACGACCACACACAACCCCAGAGTCTGGAGTTGGCGCACAGTGCATGCCCTCCAGGCCTCGGAAGCCAATGTAGAGCAGGTTGCCATTGCTGGTGGGTGGCCCAGCGCCTGCGCTCAGCTCCACGCTGGCCAGGCTACAGCGTCGAGCCTTGTGTTGACAGGCTGGCCTCACCTTGTCCTCCCTGGGCCTCTTCATGCGCAGGAACCATGCACACCAGTTCAGAAGAATAATCCTGGTCTGCAAAGACAACAGGATGTCAAGAACTGCCCAGAGTTGTGTATTGGCAGAACCCCACAGCAATGTGAACCCACAGGGGAAGCTTGATTTACAGATCCTGGGGAGTACAGACTCTCCTGTCTTCTTATTGAATTTGTACAGCAAAACAGTGAGGAAGCCTTGCAAGAAGGGAGTCGCATGTGAGGTAAGAATATGACCTACGTATGTTTATCACTGTGGGAACAAACAAGTTCCCCTGGGGTGGACATATTACACCCTCTATGAGAGAAAAAGGCAGCTAGCTCAGTAAGAATGCTTGAGATGTAACAGGGAAAGTCGTTTTCTTTTCTGAACCTTCCTGTTTTATTCCCAGGAACCTTAGATCTAATGCCCTGGCTCCCATACAGACTGTGAGGAGCCTTGGAAGGTCAATACAGGCTAAGTGAAGCTCTGTAATATATCAAATACACAGTGGATTCCCAGCTTGGAGCACCTTCACGGTTCTGACTTCAGATAACCACATCTTTTGTGAGATCCCCTATCTTTGCACAGTCGGTTTTAAAAATTGTGCCAAAATTACCGAGACAATCAGTGAGAAACAGAAAATGAGGTGGTAGTCTCTAATCTGTTCCCAGGAGTCAAGAGAGGATGCTCCATGGATGCTAGACTGTGAAGACAAAGGCATGCGGTAATTTGTTTTAACCTGTGTAAATGGGCTGCTGGGTCTCAGAGCCCTAAGGAAGAAACAGCTAAGACATTAATATGGAAGAAAGGTTAGGTGCTTTGAACCCAACTCATTAGGCTCTGATGATAAGCAATTAAAATCAGGTTTGGGACAGTATATGGAAAAGGCAGAAACAGGTGTTAGCACACTTCCTATGAACAGTCCAGGCCATGAAGGTCCTCTGACAACAGTGTCCCTGCTGGTGTGCACATAATGAGTGCATGAGTTGGCGGGTTTGAGTGATGCCTAAAAAAATTTATAAATTGTTTTTAAAAGGCTGAGGGCTGTAGTTGGGTATTGGAATCATAGTTTATCAACCTGGCCCTTTGAGTTTTATAAATGTACAGTGTCTGGTGCAGAGAAAATAGTGAAGCTACCCTGAGAAGTTATAGATTTTGTGTTCTGAGACACTGAACCCTCAATCTGGACAAAGAAGATTCTTGAGAACAGTCCCAGCATGTGAAAGGTGGGCCTTTTCCTAAGACACCTTCATGTTCATCTTGACTTATGATCGCAGGAAAATTTTCCCAGCCTCCCATCTGTAGGGGAAAAAGTAACTTGTGAAGTTCATGTCTGCAGTGCTTGCTTTCTTAGAAGTCATTTTCATGGTATCTTATCAAAAATGCAAAAAAGCTGATCTGTAGATAGTGAGAAGCACAAGAAATGTCAAGCTTAGGGTCCCCAGGGCTGGGAAGCCTTTCACAGCCTTATACTTCCAGTGTGGAGACTGCATTAGGGAAAGTCCACAGAGTAAGGACTTTTCAAAATTAGAAAAAAGCAGAGGCCACAGATACCTTCTCATGAAGCTGAACATCCATCTCAGTTGTCTGGAGTCACCAAAGGAAAATAAATTCCCCATTTTACAGGTACACGGAGACTCAGACGATACTGAACTGCCTCAAGGTCAGCCCTTTGCTGCAAGCCTCACCTACCAAGGGTGCCCCGGGGCTCTCTTCAGAACTCCTATGAGACTTAGCCTAATCCTCTTTCAGAAGACACCGGAAGGCCTGTGCTAGATCTCAAAGGAGGCTGTCAAACTCTAACTGAATCTGGACCCAGAGGCAGCTGTACACTCAAAAGCCCAGCAGGATTGGTCGTTTTTCCTGACTGGTGGGGGGGGGGCGCTGGCATGTATTCTCTGAGATGCATCTGCAGCTAGTATGATCTATGTCCCCAAGTCTATTTTGAATTCCATGGCCTGAATCATTAGCTTTCAAGGACAACACATCTCCAAACCTGGAATTATCCTCTTGGTGCTTATCAAACTGTGCTCATGACCTCTTCTGTTAGCCTACAGTTTTGCCGTTACTTGAGCAAATGTCACATAATACCACTGCACCCGACAGTATCTTCTTCATAATAGCAACGGACCACAGTAAGAGTCCCTTGGAAACTGTTTATGTTTCAAAGACACATGGAATGAATGGAAAATGCTGCATGCTTTATAAAACAAGAGAAACACACACTTATGTTTTACTTGCAGCTAACTGGTTTTAACAACCTTTTATTCTGAAAGGCTTGTAATAGACAAATGCTTTTAATTAAGATTCTGGGAGAATAAAGTGGTACCAGTTCATTAAAAATGGTTTTGTGTCTCTGTGTGCCAGTTCCTTTATCGTCACACCAGCCAAGATACTCATAGAAATAAGAATGAGTGTATTTTTTGTCTTAGCATAAACACTAGAAGAAAAATAGGAAATTCATTAAAATGGTTGTTGTGGAATAGTATTTTGACCGGGCAAAGATGTGTTATATTTGTTTATGCTGCATTTGTTTAATTATGTAAAGATATGCTGCTTTTCTTTCACCTTGCCTGCCTAAGGTACCTGACTGGTCTGATACAAAGCTGCAGGGCCAGTGTTAGGCAGGAGAAGGACCAGCTGTCAGGAAGACAGGATAAATAGGAGAAATTTAGACTCAAAAAGAACGAGAGAAGAGAGGAGAGAACAAGGGATAAAGAGAGAGATGCCCAGGGCCGGCTAGCCAGGAAGCCAGCAGACAAGATAAGACACGGAAGAAGCAGGAAAAGCAGGGCATACAGAAAGAAAAGGTAAAAAGCTCTGAGGCAAAAGATAGACAAAGGAAAACAGGTTAATTTAAGAGAGCTAGCCAGCAATGAGTCTAAATGAGGCTAAGCATTCAAAACTAGTAAGTCCTGAGTCATGATCTGGAGCTGGTTGGTGGCCTAAGAGAAAAGGCCCAGTACAAATAGTTATCAACTTTGGTAGTTACAAAGGACTGGAGTAAAATGGAAGGAAAACTTGCTTTACTCTTACTTTTGAAACAGGTAATGTGAACTCTGCTTCAAATGGATAGACAGGCAGAAAGACATGTCAGTCAATCCTACCTTAGTTCACCCTATGGTATACAGGATGCTGAGGAGAGACTACAGGGGAGGGTGTCTCAGCTTTGTGAGAGAACTGATGGCTTCTAAAGCAATGCAGCACTGAGACACCCAGTGAGACTGAGCACATTCTACAGCTGTGATGGTTATGTGAGACTTTATTACACATATAAGGCAAGTACAGTCTGAGAGGAACTAGCATTCTTACAAGGCCACTGGAAAATAAATAGTACCCTTTCCTAAGTTAGGGCCGCTGTAAGGTATTGTGCACTGTCTTCAGAAGGCTGGAAGTCCTTTGTTTTGCTGGGGATCTACAGGCATCATTTGCCTTATGCTGCATTTTGGCATGTGGGTGGTTCCTAGATTTCCTCTGGCCTTGAGCGGGACTGAATGGGTCTTCAGACAAGCTCCTTTTGGGATGGAGAGGGATGCTCTTCTTATCCTCAAACAGGAAGACAAGGGCTATCTGCAAGGCTCACTAGTGGCTGTTGTGGGGGGCGGTCAGGAAGGCTCTCCTCTACCTTGGGTTTCACTCTGGAAAGGTGTGAGAAAGTCTGGGCTCAGACTAAACCCTAGTCAAGGTCTCTGGGCATCAGCCAAGTGCAGAGGTTCAGACCCTAGGTCCTGAAATGCCACGGAAGGTGAGAATCGGCAGATAACAGTGCCTGTCGTATGCCTGCAGGTATAGGAAAATGATAGTGCTTTCCGGGCTGAGAACTCATCCATTTCCTTATGCTTTTCACTCCCCAGTCTGCTGGGAAGACCTGCCATGTTGCTTCACGGCCGCTCTCATACACAGTACTCCTCAGCGGCCAGTGGCCATGTGGAAGCAGACGTTTTAAAGCACAATCCTAGCAGGACACACAAGCAGCCAATGTGGAGTCCTGACCTGGGATGTCAGTATAAACACTGCCACGTCCACAGCACCATCCTCAGAGATACACAGAGGGCTGAGATCTGCTTAGGGACCTAGACCATAGACAACCACAAAAGGATCTCCCTTTCAGGGAGAGCTGCCGCTCTACAGGGATACAGCACATACCCACTTGGGCATTTTGCCACCATCAGGGTCATGGTGATGATATCGCAACACAATCACTGTCACCACCACAGACAGGCCCACGATGATCATGGTGCTGGCGAAGTACTGTGCTGTAAAGAGAGGAGAGGCCGTGAGAAGCCTGGGCCCCAGCAGCACCTACTGTGTGGTTGTACTAAAAAACAGGTTGTAGCCTAATACCCACACTCCTGGTGGAAAGGGACAGCCTAGACCTGAATGACTTCACTCCACACCACAAAAGAGAACTCTGCCCCTGAAGCCTAACCATCTCTGACGGCATACAATTCCCATCCCCGTGACATACTGGACTAGGAATGGAGCCCTAGCTGCAGCAGTGAGAATTGAAAGCTAACCTTGTCATGTAAATGTCACAGGAACTCATTTGTTTCTATCTAGAAAACTATGTAAATATGGAGTCCTGTTTCTGTCTCTTATCCCTGGGCAGAAACACCTATCCTAGACAAAACCTTTGTTCCACTCCCATTTCTCTAAACACTTTAATAGATACTGAGTGATCTCAGGAGATAGTAGCTAAGAATTAAAGTATGTGCTTTAGTAAAAAAAAATATCTCAAACTGTAAAGTCTTTGGCTCTAGAGCAGACGAGCGGGAGTAATACAGGACACATATGCATGCTCACCCTCCCTGTCTCTTGAGGTGAGTCATGCTATATTCCTCCGGCTAGTCTTAAACTCCTGAATCCTGTAGTCCTCCTGACTCACCATCACAAATACTGAGACTACAGGTACATACCACCATTCATGGCCATTTCTTCAGTTTAAAGGCAAGCCACAAATTTGGACATCCCTTTCCCTCTTTCTTGGGACTAGGTATAGGTCACAGTGTTTTGTAATAGTTACAGCAAGACATGTTTGCACAGCAGAGGACAGAGGGACAGACTAAGTCTCTGGACCTTGAAGGACCCTTTCCTCCTCCATGCACCTGTTGGAAAATTGTAGGTATACCTGAGTCCTTGTCTTACCTATCAAAGGCACAGAATCAGATGTTGCAGGCATGATCTCAGCCACAAGCAGCATGAAGACGGTCAGAGAAAGCAAGACAGTTATTCCTGAAACAAAAACGTGAGGAGCTCCTTAAGCAGAACAGACAATAAGGCTGGATTTCTTCTTACAGGAGCTGGCAACAGCAGTTTCCAAGAACTACATAGGTTGCTGGGGGTCACACCATGAATCCTGTGGTTTCTTTCATATGGGTATATGCATTTTTCTGCATACAGTTCCTGTTACCTGCCAGGGCCTGAAGGACACTCTAATGGAGGCAAGTTTAGAAACCACAACTTTGAGACAATCAACCAGCACGATTACTTCTCAAGGTCTTTACTGCATTAATACTAAGAAGAGTTTTACACAGCAGGGTCAGGAAACTGTGTGGCCAGAAGACTGGTTTCATTCAGGTCTTGACTTGGCAGCTTAATTGACTCTGTGACCTTGAGTAAGATATTTAACATTCTAAGCCCTATGCTAAGAAGATAGAAGGCTTGTGAAAGCTTTCTTCAACACACTGAATATGTATTTATTTAGTAATTTTGTGATATAAGCAGCTCATTTTACCATTCAAACCCCCACATTTAATATCTTCACAGGGGAAGTAATTACAAGGAATTGCATTCCTATTGTTATGTGTACAATAATTTACAAATGCAAGCTGATATTAACTTAATGTGTCTCCCATAAGTGGAGGCCCGCTACCAGGAACAAAGCAGGCGGCAGTGGGGGAGAAACATAGCCAATCAGGGTAGAACTGATCTGGTCCCCGCTGTATCCTGTCTTCTTCACAAGATCATGGGATCCCTGGACCCTGTCAATCTCAGGAAGGCACTCTGTCTCCCAAAGAGGCAGAGCCAGGAGTTTCTGGTGTGGTAGGTCCACATGTTGTGGGTCACAAGGGACTCCTGCCTGATCAACAGTGTCCTGCAGAGCTTGCCTCAGAGGTGGGCTTGGACACTTACCAAGGGAGATTTTCTCCCCAGAGTCTGCAGGGAGCAAAAATACCAGCAGAGCCAGGGCTGAGATGAGCACGCAGGGAATGAGCAGGTTGAGACCATAGTAGAGCGTTCTGCGGCGCATGGTTACTGTATAGGTGACATCTGGGTATGGCTCTTTGCAGCATTCATAGAACTTCTCGTTCCTCTTGCCAGGGATTCCTGCATGGAATGCCACAGAAGTGAGGCAGGTCATCAGAAGACACAGCTGCATTTCGTTGCTAGGTGTGTGCTACCCAGGACCACAGCCCGAAAAGTGGGTGACTGGTATTTAAATCAACCTTTACAGGAATACTATGCTCAGTGACATTCAAGCAAACTAGGAGATAGTCTTTCGATGCATTAGAAGTACTTATATAGTGTCAAGTTTACAGCATTATAAATGGAATTACAAACAGGTGCCACATATTGATGCTTCTGTGAAAGATGGAAGAAATGTACAATGTCAGTAACATTGTATTGCTGATTCTGTAGCTGGTTTACTTTGTATAGTGTAAGTGCATTCTACAATGTTCACATAATAAAATCACATAGTGACACTTTTCCGAATGTATACCTGATGGTAAGTGACTCATAATAATATTGGTTTGGATTTTAAATGATGCAATATAGGTATAAATGTCAAAATGGCTACATAGAGGGGAAAAATCAACTTTTTTTCTGAGACTTAGAGATTTTCTGACAGGGCATAAATCACTATGTAGGTATCGTGCCAGGAATTGTATGCTGGAAGGAGAAATTTCCTCAGAATCTCACACTACCTTTCAAAGATTAAGAATGCTACAGTGACCAGTTTGCTCCCTGTCCAATGGACTTGGAAAATTTTCAACAACCCTGACTTACACAATCCTCAAATTACCTGACTCACATTGCGTATCCTCCTACCCCATTATAAACTGTCCTAGGCACTTTTTGCTTTAAAATCCAGAGCCCACCCTCTCTCAGCAGAGTACTGACTTGGTGTCTAGGTGAACTGTGTCTCCCAAAGCAAAATGTTGTTCTGTGTCCAAACACTGCTATTTGGGCTCCTGATTGAACCCCACTTGTGATTTTCTCCCTTTGCAGCACCGACTGCAATGCACAGTTCAACCATGCTACAGGACTAGAGTGGATCCCACAAAGTCTACGCTAGCACTGTTGATTTAACAGGCCCTGCCATGGCTGTTGACTGCATTCGCTAACTGATTCCTGCCTCTCCTTCTGGAGATCTTAGGACATGATGGAGAAGGCTGTCAGGTGTAGTCAATGGAAGGAACAGTAGAAAAATCCCCAGATTTTCAGCTCACACAGGTAGAGGGCACCTCTCCTCTCAGACACAGGTCTTTGTTTTTGCTGGCCTTACCCATGAGATCCCACTCTCCATTGGGGATATAGCTGCTGATATCTGCCTCCTGCATCTGCAGATCCAGGGACCACCCTCCATAGGACCAGGACCCAAACTTCAGTTTGCACTGCTGCACATCGAAAGGGAACCAGCGCACATCGATGTAGCAGGAGCTCTTGAATATGCCTATGTGAGCATGGGAAATGATCAGAAGACTGAAACAGAGACAACTGAAACAGGCTCAGGACACACAGCAGGTCCTGCAGACCCCTGCCCTGCCCCACACACTGAACTCTTGCTAGGCCTGTTCAGAACAAGTTGAGGTGCTTTGCCCCCCATTTTTCCTTTTGTAAAAACCCTTAGAGAAAGCTCAACCAAAGCTTCATTGCCTTTTCAAATTAAAACACAATGGTACCCTCTGTTGTGGAAGGCTTTTCTCAGGAAACTGCACAAATAACTAATTATATACTATATTTGCCATGAGCACATTTGGACTCTAAACAATATGAGAAAAAGAAAGGATGCAAGAAATCTCAGAGAAGCTGAAAAACTGATGAAGGAGTTAGGGAAAGAACTGGAAAGGGGCAGGGAGAGGATTTTGTTTTTGTTTTATTTTTTAAAGTAACAAATTGAGAAAACATTTAGTTATCTCAAAATACACGTAGAGTTTCCACAGCAGGGCTGGGATAAGGTGCAAAACTGAAGAGAGAGTCTGGATATTCAGGAACATTCCACTGAAAGAAGGTGGAATTCACAGCAGTGTCTTTCCCAGAAGGTCATGGTGAGGAGACAAGTGAATCCTCTCCAGACTCTGTGTCCTGTGCTCTTCCTGCCCACAGCAGACTGGACTGTCCTGGAAGGCGTGAACGACTGAAGAGCTCCAGTGCAGTGGAGCACGGGCAGCACATCTCAGATTTCTTCTGCTGAATTTAAGACTACATGGAGGAACTGAAGGGCTTTACTCCACTGCACACTCCACTGCACACACATGCTGAGAAAGCATAGTAAGGCGTGTCCCTGAGAGGTCCTTTAGATATGATTTATAATCCCAGATACTTGGAGAGATGAGGCAGGAGGATGACTAGTTCAAGGCTATCCTAGATAACTTAATAATACCCTATCCCAAAATTAAAACTTTAAAGAAGGCTACGGATAGGCCAGGTGGTGGTGGCCACGCCTTTAATACCAGCACTCGGGAGGCAGAGGAAGGTGGATCTCTCTGAGTTGGAGACCAGCCTGGTCTACAAGAGCTAGTTCCTGGACAGTCTCCAAAGCCACAGAGAAACCTTGTCTTGAAAAACCAAAACAAAAAAACAAACAAAAACAAAAAAAGGCTAGGGATATAGATTAGCAGTAGAGTGCTTACTTAGTATGTATGAGGCTCAAAATTTAATCAGCAATAAATTAGTGTGTGTGTGTAAAACATACAATATTACAGACACACACACTCACACACCACAAGCATATGACTTACAGAATTACTTCAGATATCCACTGGAACCTGAAAGTCACTATTGGCATGTCTGTTCCATTAGTGGACTGAATATCCCCTAATCCAAATACACTTAGAAAACTGAATTTTATTCAATTTCAATGAAAAGGCCCAAGAAAGAGACAGAAAGGATTCAAAGATTGTCTGAGGTTTGCAGGAATATCAGTTAACTGTTAACAGGTAAGGGATGATGGGACCATTATAAAACTGGATTGTAGTGGTCCCCTGAAAATTTACTAAAACTCATGGAGTTAAGACGCTTTAAATGTGTAATATGCAAATTCTACACCCATTCACCTGTTAAAAATAAACACATGAAGGGTGTGGAGAAATGGTTCAGTGATTAAGAACACAGGCTGCTGTTCCAGAGGACCCACATTCGATTCCCAGCACTGACATGGTGGCTCACGATCACCCATTACTTCACTGAAAGTGTGCTGGAAGGCATCACACAGTCCCCTCTGCAAAGTGTCTGCAGTGTGGAGGAAGGGCTGGAGTAGGTAAGCAGATGACTTAAGCCCAAAAGCCTGAGATGCAACACTTGTTTAATCAATATAAACGTCAGTGAGAGGAATATGCCCCTGCTAGATTAAATCACTTATTCATTCACTTATTGACACACAGCCACCTGCAGATGGGGAGTGATGGATTGTAAGGCGAGCAAACAGAGATTCTGTCTACAGAATTCTTATCATCTGCTAACAGGAAGAGCACTGTAAGCAATAGGCAAAGCCAGCTTCACCATGTGCTGTGAGATAAGGAAGGGGTGTGTGTGTGTGTGTGTGTGTGTGTGTGTGTGTGTGTGTGTGTGTGTGTGTGTGTTATGAGGAGTTGTATATTCAAGGGGGGTCCATATGTTGGGAGTGTGCTAGTGTGTTCTAAGTGCAGCAGCAACCGTGTGGCAGTGGGTTACAGATTTGTTAGAAGCAGTTTCAGTGAGGAAAATATAATTCTTGAAAAATACTTTAACAAATTTTCTAAATGATAAAGTGAAAAATTAATACCTATATGCTAGAACACACCTTGAATGTGTCTCAAAGGGTGTGAAGCAGTAGTTGCCCAGGCTGTGGATTGCTCAATGAACAGCCTGGAATCCTGAGTCCCACAATAATGACAGTCAGGGAAACATCAACCCCATGAAGCTATTTACCACCAGGAGGTTGAGAGGAAGAAAAGACAGCAGTTGAGGAAGAATCACCAGAGGGTGCTCCCTTGAAGGCACTGGATCTTGCATGTAACGTGAGCAATCATGAGTTCATGAACCCAGAATGCCCACTATCTGCCCAGCACCACAGTACCTGTCAGCGTCCTGTGCCAACTGGGAGGAGATGAAATAGAAAAGGCCTGCCAATCAGTCTTATGGGTAGAAAGAAGGGTTAGAAATGACTCAACAAAAGGAGACTAGACTGTGAATTAACATTAATAAAGACAGACCATGGCAAAACCAACTGAAATGTGATCTCAACATCAGAGATGACATCTAGAATGAGTTGAAGAGACACATGAGAGTTCTGATGGGAAGGAGAGGGTGGGAAGCCAACATGGAACCAGTCAGGAGAGCAGTCTTTGGAACTGATTCACATACTTGCTTAAATTTTCTCACTGGATGGAGGCCAAGGGAGTAGATCTTACCTGGAGGGAGATACTGGCAATGCCCAGATGAATTTACCAAGACATTGGTGTGGAATGTGGCATCAAACCGTTCATCAGCACTAGAAAGAGGAAAAGGACTCATGAGCCAGAACCTGTAGGCAGTGGGTTTCTTACTGTCCTTCTTAGATTTGTTGTGCTTGTGGGTCAGAGAACAGCAGCTTTTTGAAAGTTTCCTGCTTGTAGCGGGACAATCTCACCTCTGCCTGGGAGAACCAATATTGCTCACCTGGAACATCGTTTTAGTGAGGTACCAATGACCACTCCCAATACGAATTGTGATGTCCTGGTTTCCTTTCTGTTGCTATGACTAAAGCAACTTAGAAAATAAAGGTGTGTTTGGCTCACAACTCCAGGTTCCAGGAAAGTCAAGGCAATGACGAAGCATCACACACAGTCAAGAGCAGGGGCAATAAACACAGACCCCTATTTGCTTTCTCTCTCAGCTAGCTTTTGCCTCTTACCCTCTGCAGGATTCCATGCCATTGGGTAACATTATTCTGAGGATGAACAAATGTCTACTTATCTCAGATGAGAAAGGATACCACCAGAGTATAACTTGATAAACCATAAGTTTCACTGGGCTAATTACAGGAATACTGGTTAGAGGTTACTTACAGGGGCAGAAATGATGAAAAATACTTACCCCATCCATATCTACCCCAGAATGACAGCTCAGAAAAGACTGAAACATGGAATATACTGCATAATCCACAGTAAATTGAGTAGTTTAAGGAGTGTCCTTTCCAGCTAGCTCAGATGGTCTGAGATACGTCCAGGTTCCCCGGCTAGTCTTTGCCTTTTCCAGGCAGGATAGATTAGCTCTGCTTCTTCCTGGTAGTTAGGCTGGCCTTTGTTTCTTCCAGGAAGTTCAGCTGGTCTGAGCCTCTTCCAGGCAGCCCATTTTGTCTGAGAGCGTCTCTCAGCAGTCCATACAGCTTACATATGCTTGGAGGACAAAGGATCTGGTATATTTAGTCATTTTTAGGGACTTCCTAAAGGCCTTGAATCTTATTTCTTGAGCTTACCAGATTCTATGCAGGATGGAATGTTGTAGATTAGAACATCTCATATCTTAATGGGCATCTCTCTAAGATAAAGGGTTTTATTTCCGAGGAGCTTGCTGTACAACACCTGCCTAGGGACTGGTGCTGCCTACAGTGGGCTGAGTCTTCCTAAATCAGTTAGCAATCAGGACATCGCTACCCCCTTGTACACAAATATGACCACAGGCCAATGTGATTTACACAATTCCTCATTGAGACTTTCTTTCCAAGTGAGTCTAGGTTTATCAAGTTGGCAGTTGACTAACAAGTACAGATGTTTTCCACCAAACATCCAATACAATGTTCCTATCCAACATGAAACCTAAAGGCAAGAGAAGAATGGCATGACTACAGGAGACCCCGTGAAGTATGGATTTTATACCTGTGTGACCAAAACTCAAGTTCCAATCTCTGGAATGGGACTCACACTTGACTAGTGTTAACAGATGTTTTTGAATGACTAAAACTACAAGTGCAGGGTCTGGGTACCAGCAAGGCCCTAGAGATTCTAGACAACCGTGATAATAAGGTGGTGGGTGGACAGCAAATTAAGTGTTTTACATGAATGTACATGAACTTTATCCCCTGTAACAACACACAGAAGTTATGATTCGAATATAGGAAACACATGCAAACCAGGAAGATAAAGCAACTGTTAAAACTAACAGCTTGTGCCAACCATTGCTTACGTTTTTCTACATTCTACTCTTTTGAGATCTCAGAGCTAGATGACCCTGCAGGGGCTTCCCTCTTGGGATCAGGCAGTTCCTAGAGAGAAAGAGAGACCAATTGTCCCATTTTCCTTACTATTGCCATGATAAACACTACAACCAACAGCAACCAAGGGAGGAAAACATGTATTTGGTTTGTAGGTTGCAATTATCACCAATGGAAGCCAAAGTGGGAATCTAGAGGCAGGGATCATACTGGAGAGTACAGAGTAACGCTGCTTCCTGGCTTACTCCACATGGCTTGCTCAGCTTGTTTTCTTATATTAACTCCTGCCCTAGGGTAGTAGTGTCTTGGTTAGGGTTATTATTTCTGTGATGAAACACCAGACCAAAAGCAACTAGGGGAGGAACGCGATTATTTCCTCACAGTTCCATATGACAGAAGTAGTGAGGGCAGGAAGACATGCAGGGCAGGAGCCCCGGGCAGGAGCTGAACTAGATGCTGCTTACTGCCTTGCTTCCCCTGGCTTGCTCAGCCTGCTGTCATATGGAACCCTTAACCACCAGCCCGGAATGGCCCCACCCACAATGGGCAGGGTCCTCCCAAATCAATCTCCAATTAAGACAATGCCCTGCAGGTTTGCCTACAGCCTGCTCTTATGAAGGGATTTTTCTCAATCAAGGCTTCGCCTCTATGATGACTAGCTCCTGTCAGGATGACATAAAACCAGCCAGTACAGGCAGCATAGTCTACAGTGGGCTGGACCCTCACATGTGAATCAATATAGATAGGTCCATAGGCCAAACTGATGGGGGCAATTCCTCAATTGTGGTTCCCTCTTCTCCCAAGTGATTCTAGTCTGTGTGAAGTTGACAGAACTAGCCAGCACACCAAACTCCAAGAGTCTCTTTTGAATCTAAGTGAACCAAACTGGAGCCACACTCCTACTAGCTACTCTATCTGAGATACTATCTTACTCCTGTCACAATGGCTAAAATCAAAACCACCAACGACAATTTATGCTGGAGAGGATGTGGTGAAAGGGGAACACTCCTCTACTGCTGGTGGGATTGCCAACTTGTACAGCCACTTTGGAAATCAGTATGGAGATTCCTCAGAAAAATGGGAATAAACCTACCACAAGACCTAGCAACTGCACTCTTAGGCATATATCCAAAAGATGCCCATTCATACAACAAGGATGTCTGTTCCACCATGTTCATAGCAGCATTATTTGTAATAGCCATAACTTGGAAGCAACCAAATGCCCCTCAACTGAAGAGTGGATAGAGAAAATGTGGTACATTTACACAATGAAGTACTATTCAGCAGAAAAAACAATGGAATCCTGAAATTTTCAGGCAAATGGATGGCACTAGAAGAAACCATCTTGAGTGACGTAACCCAGTCACAAAAAGAGAAACATGTCATGTACTCTCTCATATATGGATTTTAGACATAGATCTGGGGAATGCCAGCCTACATTCTCATGGCCAGAGACTCTGAGAAACAGAACCTTCATTCCCTGGCTGATGGAAGCAGAGGCAGACTGCCGCAAGTAAACACTGAGCTGAACTCAAGAAAGCCAGTGACAGAGAGGGAGGACTTAGGACTTGGCTGGTTTAACCCCCAGAAACAGCTGACCTGACAAAGGTTAGCTCTTGAATCCCAGACTGATGGCTGGGAATCCAGCATGGGATTGATCAAGACCCCCAGAACGTGGGTGTCATCGAGGAAGCCTAGGTAATCTATTGGGCCTTGGATAGTAGATCTGTATTTATCCCAGGTATACAAATGGACTTCCGGCACCCATCCTACAATGAGAGATGCATTCTCACCCCGGATTCTTGGGGGAGGGCCTAGGCCCTGTATGAAAGGACAGACTATGGACACTCCCCATGGAAGGCCTAACCCTACCTGGGGAAACTAGGAGGTATGGGGGGTTTTGGAGGGAGGGCATTGGAGAAGGGGAAGGAAAGGGAGCGCAACCTTGTTTCTAATTTAAATTTAAAAATAAAAAAAAAGAAAGGGCATTGAAATTCACTGCTGGCCATGCCCACTTTAGGCGTGGCTAGAGGTGTGTATGGAGGTGCTAATAAAAGACCGTGCAGGAGAGACACATGCTCTCTCTTTGGCTTCCGGTTCTATGGTGAAAGCTGTGCTGAGTCACCTTGGTTGTCTGTTTTCTCTTGTATGTAATTTCTACAATAAACAGTTACCTATACCCTCAAAAAATAGTAATACCCTCTCCAAATTCAAGATTATATTACAATTAGGAAAACAAAGAGCAACGTAGAAATCAAATCTGTGGCTGATAAAATAATTTACAATAAATGGTGGGAGGTTCCACTAGTAAGCCTCACAGAGGACAAGTACAACAAAAATGACACATGACACAAAGGACAAGGCCAGCTGAGTCTACGTCATGGACAGGAGATCCATTGGAAGACAACAGCCAGAGTGGGAGGGAGGGAACTGCCAAAGAAATGACACAAAGACATTTTCAGAGCAGAAGGGAACCATTCAAGTGTGAAGGCAGAGAGAGATGTTTACAAGACATGAAGGCCACAGAGAGTTGAGTCCCATGCACCTGTCCTTGGGCAGCTTTAGAAAAATTAGGGGGGGAAGAGGAGGAGGAGAGGGAAAGGGGGGAGAGAGGGGGAGGTTAGGAGAGAGAGTTTTATACTCAACTGAGAAGGGAGAACAGGGTCACTATGATGTGGAATTCAGATAGCTACAAAACCTAGGGCCAAACTGAAGAGAGACATTCTTGGGTTGCAAGAGATGGGAATCACACAGAAGAAAGCATGTTTTTGGAACACAGACTTCTGGTTTTATTTGGTTTTGCTTGACGTTTTCTGATGTGTAATCTAGTCTTGCCACAAGCTCTGAGTTCCCCTGACTCAGTCTTGCAAGTGCAGAGACTGCAGCTGTGCACCACACCTGGCCAGTGTCGTGGATCTGATAAAAGCACACTCCAGACTCTCCTAAGAGGCATCCTTCTGCTGCCGCAGTGCCCTCTGTTCTCTGTGCAGCGTAGCCAAGGAATCTCGTATTCTTTTTTGTTTTTTTAATCTTACAGCAAGAAGGAAAAGAAAAAAATTCAAAGGGGATAATATACAAGGATGTCAAGACCTGGATACAAAACAAAGTATGATCAAGTTTACAGGGAGGGAAGGGAGCAATTCATCATGGATGGGCTGGAACAGTAACGACAAACACATTGTCCCAATACCCAACTCCACGGGGAGAGACAAGAGTGGAAGCACTCTTGGTTGCATCTTCAAGTGACTGTCAGTGGGCGACACCATAAACAGTGACCACAGGGAACTAGCTGACATCAT